ACAATTTACCAACTTTGTCTGACTTGCCACAGAGATGGATGAGTGTAGCACAGACCCGTACCCGTGTAGATTGCCACTTGAATAACGAGTACACATCGTTTTCATACGTTCCTCCCCGTGATCTATGAATGGTGATATCACTTGCCTGCACAACGGGAAGCTGGTATCTCCCCTCCTTTTCCTCCTTCCTCCTAATGACGTCACACGTGGCGTCACGTGTGACGTCACAGGGTCACGAGTAACGTCCCGAGGGCCACAACAGTTACGAGTGACGTCACGAGGGTCACAACAGTTACGAGTGACGTCACGAGGGTCACAACAGTTACGAGTGACGTCATTATGGGACGTTTTCAAAACGCAGCGCGAGGCTACGCGCACGGCGTCGCCGTCGGCGTAACCCCGCGTTGCATTAGGGGGACGTCCCACCATGCAACACGCGGATCACCAGTGAGACCCGCGCTTTGCGTTTTGTGAAACGTCCTATAATGTAACGCGCGGGTCTCCCTGGTGTCCCGCGGGCTGCATTGTGGGACGTTTCGCATAGTATTACGCGCGGCAGCGCCTACGGCGTCACCGTCAGCGTAACCGCGTGTTGCATTATAGGAAACATCCCACAATGCGTAGAAGTACCCCTGCGTTGCATTATGGGAAACGTCCCACAATGCAACGCACGAGTCACCCCCGCGCGTTGCATTATGGTACCTTTCACATAATGCTACGCGCTGTTACGCCGACGGCGACGGCGACGCCGACGGCCAGGCTGCTCAAGCTGCAAACGGGCGCCTAGGAGCTGCGCTCTTAAAAACGCGGTTGCATAACCGCGACGCTCTTGCTGGCGAGGGATTTCGTCTGCGTGTCGTCTGCTTTCTTTCGTTGGTCGACTGCACCTTTCAACGCTGCTCCCGACGTCATCTATCAATACGTGCGTCAAACACGCTCCGCCAATAGGCTCAGTCGTCCGCGTCGCCGCCCGCCGTTGACCTTGGCAATTTTTTGGCCCCATGTTTAACAAAAAGGAAGATACGCATTGTGATTTTACATGATGAAACCAATTTTTTAAATGCACTTTGTCGAAAAGTTTGGATTGCTACGTGCAGGCGCCGATTTTAGCGGCCGTTTTAGATCGAGCCTCGTTATTTCAGTAACCCTACGTACATTTTATCGAGAGAATTTTAATATTTTTCGTTACAACTAATATATAAAAATGTAAACGTTACTGGGGCTTGGTGGGAGCTCAATTAAGTTCACTCAGAAGGACTCAACAGGAAATGGATGTCTACAAAGTTAAGGGGCGTTGCTTGGCGCAAAGATTGCAACTTCTTTTCTGCGGAATGCACTTGGTCATGTGGTCCAAGATTTCATAGTGAAGCAAAGTCACAAAGTGTCCTTAAACCTGAACAGATGTTTGGGGTATTGCATTAATTCCTGCATGCAGCATATTTTTTTGAAAATATATTTTTTATTTAGCACATACATTATTATGACATACATCACAGCGAGTATTTAAAATATTAAGCTATGTGAGCATAAGCATGGCGCTTTGTAGAAGTAGCATTCGAAGTGAAGTATGGAATCAATGTAGGTCTGAACAAGCAGTCTTTTAACTTTTTAGGAAGCTCGAACGAAAGAAACCCTCCCCTCCAAAAAATAACGTAGAAATATACTGAGGCATAGATAGAGATGATAGTGTTTCTTCAAAAGGCCAAGCAATTAAATATTGAGAACACGCCCTGGAGATTTTTGTTGGTGGTCATGTGGGTCACTAGAAATAATACAGAATATGATAAATACGTACGCAATTAGCCGAAGTGTTTGATTACTTTTGCTACTTCCCTTTATTAAAAAACAAGGGAGTTGGAGAGTTCACGTTCTTCCTCTTTACAGTCTAGTTATGACATAAAAATTTGAGACAAAAATTTTCTTAAAAATTCTGTTAAACTCAGAGAACACTAAACGTACCTTGCGTGCTTATGCGTGCGTTATGATCAGTTATTAGCGGTTATCGGAAGATGTAAATTGTTCGTATTGCGTTTTACATACGACACACTCATGTGCTCACTGCCTTTTATATAATAATCCAGATGAGTTTAAATATATTGAGTAGACGGGTCTCTGAAGAGTTAACTTTAATGACTAGTTCCCACAGGTTTTGGATATACCTTACAAAAAATCCATGTTATTCATTGAAAGTCCAATAGCTCGGCACCGTCAGCTTTGGTGTATTTGGAATAGCTGAATGCGCACAACCTTGGGGTTTCACCCATTGAACTGGGAGGGGTGGCTGCTGCCATCTATCGTCGTATCTATATGTCGTGATACCGGAGACAGCCGTCTCTGTTGTCCTGGCAAATCCGGTATCTCGGTGCGTTAGAGGCAGCCCCCTCCCTCGGCACAACGGGACAACGTTAACAGTGTGACGCACACGAGTTCTCGCGGACGGGGTTTTCCGAAACGCTCGGGGAGGATTTTGCGTTGAGCGTGCTGTTTAAATAAAATGAACGAAGTAGAATGCATTCTTCTAATAAAGTATCTTGTCTTTCAGCATTTAGATGCTGGGTGTAGCGTCTAGTATCCTAATGCTCCTGCATTGAGAAGATTTCTTCTTGATACTTGCAGTAATCACAAGAGGAATATTTTGCATATCGGCTGCTATGCTCAGTCGTGGCGTCATACGTCCGCTGCACCCTCTGTCGCTGCGTTGTAATCTTCCTTGTGGTGTTGTGTGGTAACATGGAGAGCTATGCTTTGTCAGTTGGGAGCCAGATGAGCCCGCCGTAGGTGTACCGTTTGTGGAGCCTTCTGTGATACATAACCTTTTGCTGCCTTTAACGCACTTTTTCACCTTCTCCCATTGCGCCAATAAAAGACGTCAGACTGCGAATCGCTCGATCCGGGGTTCAATGCCCAATGAACCTCTTGGTAAATCAAGCATGTTACAATAAATAATGAGTAATGAACAGTATTAATAATTATAACTAATAATGCTCGTATTTCGATGTTCTCCATTTGCTATCATAGGCAGTGTAAGCGGTATGCCTCTATGGCATAAGTGTAACATCTTTCATCATACTCGTACATGACTAATTTCGCATAAAATACAGCTCATAAACACATTCTGTGTTAAAATTCGTAGTGGGCACTACGGAGCGACAAAATGCCACCTTCATACGCGGCTTCAAACCAAAACTAACTGAGCAAAGAGCACCCGTGATATTGATCCTTCCGCCCTGCGTCATCTCCGCAACCCACTTGTCCCGTCGCTGGAGACGTCAGCGGCGTGATGCAAGCGCAATAAACACCGTATTGGGCATCATTGGTCTTGGGGTTGTTCATGTTATTTCGTTTGGGCCCCGGAGGTCGCGTTTTAATCGTTCCTCAATCTAGAGACACAGGGTGAGGTATTCCGATTGACTGGACGAATTGCACCTCGTACACTTTGTGGAAAATTCAGCTAGACTGTTTTAGCAGTTCAAAGTGTCATTTTGTTGTGTACGTTGTTCTTGGCGATGGTGATTAGGAAAAGCTCGAGGACCTCATTGCTCAACGTTTGGGCACCCCACCTTATTTTCTCTGCCCTTCACTTTTTTCCCATTCAGCGTGTCATAGTTTATCAAGCCTAACCATAGTGCAATATCAGTATATTGGTCGGCAGTGAGACTGTCCATCGTTATCGTCATATAACTTCGATTTGACAGCCCCCTTTTGTTTCAGCTCTCTTAATAAACATATCATTTACTTTTTTATTGTCATAACTTTTGCATTAATTTTTGTAAAATACGTGTAATAGTTTTAGCAACAAAACTGCCCTCTCAAATTTTTTTACTTTCTACAAATCTTGCGTCTTCTCCATTTGTAAGGTCGATGGCCGGACAGCTTCTGTCACCTTCAAAATGAATGGTAATTTGTTCCGCTTGGCAGGATCTAAACACCTATTGTCTAAGACCTACAACTGAAAGGTTTGCCTTTGACAGTGCCGCGCCGTCCGCGGGATATTGTTCAAGGACCATCATGCTTGAAGCTGAAACAGACCGAACATTTTGGCACTTGCATTGTCTCAAAAATGGAGTCTGGACGAAGAACACGGTTCACGCAGTGAGTGACTACGTGCGACCTTGGGCGAAAAATTTTGCAACGTGTCGTATGCTCGTTCCAAAAAACTGCCGGGTAACACAGACGTTGACTGATCGATCATTGAGTTGACATTTAGAGAACGTAAGTTTAGGTGCTTATTTCGGAACCGAACAGGTATACACTTTACGGAACCGAACAGGTAGATCCGAATTCCCATTTCATCTTTATATACTTTTGTTTCTGAACCCCTCCGGATGTCGAAACGCTTCCCTGCTCTTGACGTCAAAGTATACCGGTACGTAATTGGCTGTTCCATCGAAGCTTGTTGTTTAATGGGTGACTGCTTCTGCAGAAAAACCGTTAGTGAGCAGCTAACGAGCCGTTCGCTGGAGGAAAATATCTGCCCTTTTGAGCCTTTTCTTTCGTCGAACGTCGACTGAAACTCAGGCATAAGCTCCATAAAAGACGTCGCAAGCCGTGCACTGCCAAGCAATAACGCAGCCGGGGAACCTTTGCTGGAAAGTTTTCAAGCTGTCGCAGCCGTCACTTGCAAAACAGGGCCTCGAGGTAAACAAGTGACCTATGACTTGGAAAGCTCGCGCCCAACTGGTGTTGTATACCGAGCTGTTTCTTGTTGTGCTCTTCACGGGCCTCCTTTGCGATTGCGGAAAGGCTGCTTCAGTCGTTCGGGTTGTTTAGGGGGAGCTATATAAAGTCTGGCAGAGCACGCGGTGGTGGCGTTCTCGGTCGCACTGCGGCGTGCAAGAGCTGGGCTTCGCGCGAGTTGCCGAAACAAACGATGCCAAAGGCCAATGTCGGAGCACTTGGCGGAGGCGACGGCAGCTAGCCGCCCTATGAAGGGTCGTTGGGCAAACGCTGTTCCGCTTCCGCGGGTACCTAAGTGTTTTCTCTCTCGACATCTCGGCCAGGAGGATTCTTAACGCCAACTGGAGCGTGAGGGGTCACAACTCTGAGAAGCCATGGAGAGTGTGCTGGACCCCCTGGGTCCCTGGCACGGGCCGGTGCTGTTTCTGGGAGTTTTGAGAGGCCTAGCAGCATCCTCCTTCATCATGAGCCTTACCTTCATGGCTCCCCAAAGTCAGGTAAGAAGGCTTAAGCAAGAGCTAGCGTTTTGTGGTACCCTATCCACAGCGATAACATAGGTGAAAAGATGAAATTGTGCATTTCCTATGTGTGCTCGTGGAGAATTTGTTGTACAAGAATACGCAGAGTGCAAGCATTTTATAAAAACTAGCGCCCGTGAAATTCACCTCAGAATGCTTTGCATGAGTCTAGATATAAAGCATGGAGGGAAGGAACATGTCATGCAGTTCCCTTTAACCACAAAAACGGGAGTTGAATTGAAGCAGAACAATAATCCGACTAGAAAAAAAAAAAAAAAACTTTGCTGGAGTGGAATTGAGGCGAAACATGATCGAACATGATATTGCAAGAGACTCATAATTAGATGTGTTTTGAAACAATGCAAAGTGATGTAAAGTTTAATTCAAAATACCACAATATTTCATATCCACATATCTACAATTAAGTTCACTGTTTCGTACCAAACCAATTTCGCATAAAGCTAGCATAAGCTGCACAAATGCAAGAATTCTAGTCTTTCTATGCACTTGTGGATAACGCTAAATGTTCCTTTGTTTAATAAGCGACAAGAAGTAAGCGTTCTATTATCTGTGTTTTTACCACTCAAATAACAAAACTGAGAAAAATGCAGCTCAAAATACAGCTTGATAGGTTTATGTGAAGACAACCGTTTGCTTGTGGTCATATGCATTTGCGGTTACTCTTCGATCATACCCCTTCATCCTGCTCTCACCGTGTATTTATATCCCATAGGAGGTCATGAAATACAGAGTAGGTAACATAAACTAATTATGATCTTGAAATCAGGTTCGACAAAGCGTGCAACCCGTTCTCCCACTGACAAACTAAATCTATGAAAGCGAACATCTTTGGGAATCAATTGCTATTGCTCGATTTGGAATATTTCCATAAAATGGCGCATGAAAACAAACGTATAGCAGTTTTGATGAAGATGCAGCAATTTTTTCAGGGTAGTTTTCATACTCGCCCAAGCTGTAATCGATTAAGGGTATCGTGACAACAACACTGATCCTTTTAAGCTGGCCAATGTTGCTCTGCTACAAAAAAAAAAAAAAAAAAGCCTAGCTCATAACAAGCTTTGTATCGAAAAAAAAATAGTTTTTTTTTTTTAATTTACACGAAACGTGATCCTTGAGGCCACGAAGTAAAATGTTGAGACGATTTGCAAGGCTTAGATGCTATGTCGACCATAGGCAACGACGTCATGCACGTGACATGCACGAGTACCTCTGAGAAGTATAGCTTCAGAGAAACTGAGTCTGCCGATGAGGGAATATTTTTTGCAGAAGCACAGATTTCTTAACACATTCCAAAAGAAAAACTAAATTTGAACTCAAGGAAACACCTTGCCGTTTGACAGTAAATATACTTCAATTTCAATCGTAGGCTTTAAGAGATAAATGATTTTTTACCCAGCGTGTAATCGTCCCACCGTTTATTTTTAAAAGGATGTATTGATTTTTAAAGAGTCGCGAATACATCAAATTTTGATGCTTTCTTATCTTCTCCTTTAATCATAGATATGCAATGCCCGGTTTGTATATTAAAACTACACAGGCTCGGATTGTCACCTTTTCCCATACGCAGTTGGGTGAGAACTCACATGTTACAGAAATGCATCCCATGCGGTATACTCACATGTATATTTTGAGGAAGTTAATCTCTGACGTTTTAGCGGCCCTCGCATTGTGATTCGATGATGTGATCGGCTGTTCTTGAAAGCCTTGTGCATAAACAGAACAACAATCAACACACGGCGCCGGCTTCAAATGTCCCCAATGTGGACCTTGCAACAAGGATGCCACACACTGACATTATGTTCGAACAGGTTACTTACGCATAGTTTGCGGCACCTTAGAAAACGCAGGGTGTCCCGAGTCTTTTGTTTGGGACTCGATGAGTTTGCGTCATTAGCTGATGAGATTAACCAAGGAGATCGTGTCATTTGCCGATAAGAACGCCGAATAACAAATCACAAATGACACAACTGAATCTAAAAAGACGCGTTTCTTAAAGGGACACTCACAGAGTATTTATGCTCGCCAAGGTTTTTATTTGTACATGACTTATGGGAGCCAAACGATTTAGCAAACAATTCGCGGCTCGAAATTCGTTTTCTTTCCGCCCGAAAACCGCCGGTCGAGAACTGGCCGGTTTGAGCAGCCTCACCCTCTTCTCCATGTCCACGTGCCGTTTTTTGTGGTTTAAACAAAACCACCAAAGATAATCACAGTCGTGGGTTATCGCAAACACACATGTGTTTTTGCGATGACCCACAAAATGTAGGAATCATATTTTGTTCATATATTTAGTATTGAGTGCACTCCATATTAATAATACAAGCAAAATATGATCCCCATTTTTTGCGGCTTCTAAAAAGCTGCAAATTTATTGATTGAAAATAAAAAGTCACACAGGCACGTGACTTCCGGCAACAATCTCCACCTTTATATTTCTTCTTCCTCCCAAGTATAGTGCAGGTTTCGGTTTCTAGCAGTTGCGTTTTTTACTCTAATAAATATAAATGTGACTCCGTAGCATAATATTCATTGGGCAGTCTTCCGACACCAATATGAACTGCCAAAAAAATAATTAGGGGTGCTATAATTGGCGACAACTTTTCTTCGCAAAGCAGTGGAGAGGAGGAGAACCTGGGCGCAGCTTTATTCAGCGCTCAAACTGGGAGAGGGAACGCGTGCCAGCACCTTCCACTGCATTACCAAGAAAAGTTGTCGCCGAGTATATTGTCCATTTAAGGTGTCAGTGATTGTAGTTTCTTTTTTATATTTTCATATGCTTGCAGGAACACTGGTGCGCGCGTCCCGCTTCTTTCAGCAACTGGACGACGCAAGAGTGGCTGAATATCAGTGTTCCCTTGGAAGTGAGCGAACTTGGTGTGGTGTCGCGGAGCAGGTGTCATGTGCTCCAGTGGGACGGTCAGGACGCGGAGGGGATTCGATCTGATGCGCGGTTGTGGCAAGGACAGAGCAATGGATCTTCGGTGCCTACGTCGGTTCCATGTACAGAATGGGAATTCGACTCATCTTTTCATACGAGGACTGTCCTAAGTGAGGTGAGGTGCTTAAAGGTCCGCTTTACTTAAAAGGATGGCCGCTGTCTTTTCGCAGTGTCCTGTAAAGTCACTTGATTTGGTGCATCTTACTTAGGACCGATGGTAACTGAAACGGCATTGCATAAACAGTAATCTCTGCGCGCATCGTTAGTAGTTCGGTTTTAATATTAGTTTCTTAACAGAGAATTCGAAGTACTTTCGAAAACATATTATTTATAATATTACACTTATTTGCCTTGAAGGTTAAAGGAGACCAATGCTAGAAGCCATCGGAGCTGCCTTAGATTATGTTTTTAAAGGGGCACTGACACTCCAAAGGTTATATTTTTGTTGTTGTTCAAAACGATAAAAATTGTAGTCATCGACATGCAAAGTACACCACAACGTGAAAAAAAAAAAAAAATACCCACGCGCGCGTGCGCCTTTAAATCTTTGGCGCTTTCTCTCCTACTTCTCACATCCTTACTTTGTTTTATTTGTGACGTAATCGATTATGAAATTTAAAAGCTTTGTAAGCGACATTTCTGTAATATTTATAATGGCATTCGTAAAACATTTTTTTACGCAATTGCAAACGCACTACGGCCCTTCTTTATAAAATACCGCAAATCGAGGTCGAGAGTGGTGTCGCCTCCTGGCTCTTTGTCCTCTCTCGGAAGACATGGCGGCGGCGCGGCGCTCGGCGCATGTAGCACTGATGATGACCAGTGAGTCAGAAAATCGAACTAAGTTCTCTTTTTTAGGTGCCAAACGACATTTCAGACTTCGGAAAGCAAATTGTCAAACGGTCAAAACAGCTGGTTCTGTGTACAGTTTCGATTGTGACTCCACCGGGGCAACCACTCAAGCAGAACCGGCGCGACGTGGCCCCTCAAAGACGCTCACAAAAGTCGAGTGCACGTTCTTTTAGATCTCACACCGCTCGAAAGAATGGTACATGGATGAAAGGGTCCTAAAATAACGTTAAACTCGAAAGTGAAGCATCGCCTGCTCGCAGCGATAGACGCCACGCACGGAGAAGAGCGGTTGTTCGCGGGACACGGGTGAACACGAAACGTCGGGCAGGGACGGCTCGGGGGCGTGAGAGGAATCCTATGTGCAGGACGACTCAATGTTTGACGTCACTGCGCTGGCGAGGATCGCACGGCAACTTCAAGTTGGGCTGTTGGCAATTATTTGTATACTTCACAAATATTGAGTTTTCAGGTTTCGAATTTTGAGGGTAATGTTTAGGCATCGTTTTCAATCGTTTCGCTTAATAAAAAAATATATTATTTTGAACTGTCAGTGCCCTTTTAAGGAAGTTTTAAACCGTACGAACTGATTCACTAGCAAGAATTGGTCGTGTCTCCAGCGATGCTTTGCAGTTTTGACAATTGAATGAAGGGTTAGAGTACAATAGAAAGAATAGTCCTGCTAATAAATTTGTAACATTAATATTTTTTCACTAGTTCGCCGCATTTTCCTTGTGTAATTTGCCTCTTTTAACAAACTTAGAGTAGCTGACGCCAGTATAAACGAAGAATAACTCATAATTGTTGTGATTGACATTTGGCTACGTTAATTGAATTCTCATTATAGGACGTAAAAGGCCTTATAACAAAACCACCTACTTCCTGAAATCTGCCCGTTCATGCGTCCACGTATACACCACAGCGAGGAATGCGCCCGCAACTGGATTGGTTACTTTGGTATCATAATGAAAGCAATGTGCGAGAGCTCTTGCTTTTAATTGATCCAGTACATACTGATCACTTACGAGGAGTCAAACCCAAAATCTTGGCGCTGGCTAAGATGCACACTTGTGTTCCTACTAGATTTTTTACACACTGATGATCTCCGGAATGCATGCTGATGTTGCAAAGGAGGGTGGTGGCAGTTAATAAACAATCTGATGTTTTGCACTCAAAGAAATTGCTTTTAAATGCCTTAATAGCACATTTAAGCAATCGCCCCACGTTCGATGCGTTATAGGACTTTGCCCTATTTTTTTCGAGCACGGCACAATTATACTTCCTCTGGTTATCTTTAGGCTACTTGTTGGCTCGCGCTTCCACCTTACCTACATTCTGAAACTTAATGTATGTTTATTTTTGTTGCCTTGCGCAATAGAAAATTGCTTAGCACGAGCTCTTGTTTCTATGCTATCCTGTACTTTGAATTACGTTTCCTGGATACACACTGACCTTGAAATACTTTATACTGGTCTTGACAGATGAATTGAGATGCTCTACCTTCGAAGCTTTTTAAACATGCTATATTTTTAAAGGGTATATTACGAGGTGCTGATGTCAAGGGATTCTTAGTTTTCGTTCCGTACAGCATGTCCCCTAAATGAAATTTTGTTTTCTCCCTGCAAATGCAAACTACGTATCGCCTGAATGCTCAGTCTCCGCCTATATGTTGAACTCGTGGTTTGAACTGGATAACAAACTTTTGTAATTAACCACTATTCTATTCATGAATCGGAAGTGACTTTTTGAAACTTTTAACGGAAAAATGAGTTTTGTTTTTTTCTGGTTTGCGGCCTTCAAGCCCACGTATTCATGGGTTTCGTGGCCCACCATTTCCCCCCAAAAAATGTACAAAAATCGATTATAACTTTTTTTAATAAAATAACGCATCGTTCTGAAACATTAGCACCTGGTTCGAAGAACAATCGCTACATCTGAGCGGACACTGAACGTTCAGGGATGCGTATTTTATTTTTACGAGAAAAAGCAAAACAAAAAAACACACGAAAGCATTGTATTTGGCTTTGGGAACACCGTGCATTTAGCTCAGGACTAATTGAGTCTCTGTACAGGAGCACATCAAAATTTTATCACAAACACTAGTTCTAAAAAAGGTCCCCTATTACAAAATAAAATTAATATTGTACAACTAAAGACGGTCTTTCTTAACTTAAACATATGTGACTGTTTTTTTTTGTTTTTTTAAAATATGTTCTCAGCCCGAAAACTTTAGCATGCACTATATATAGATATAGAGAACGAAAGGAAGAGATTTTAAAAAAGTGCTTTCTGAGAATTATGCAACTATTGACAATTGGTTAATTGAGGGAACAAAGTCGTACTAATACATCAAGAAACAACTAGAGTGTTTCCATGTCAGCTTTTGTCATGTGGTGTATGTTGTGATCTCAATAATTGTTCTGAGGCTTTCGATTGTTCCGAGAAAGCCTTTGAATAAAATGTAACCGTATCAATGCAATTTGGAAAGACAAAAGTCTAGGGAGGTGGCAAAAAGTTTTTTATTTATTTTAATTATTTATTTATTTATTTACAGAGTACCTACATTGCCTCGAGGGCATTATTGCAGGAGGGGCAGTAAATAACACACATACATAAAAAAACACAAAGTGATCACTTGTCCGCTCAGATTAGATATACAGCCGAGAAAAAAAATACACTGTTGTCCAAGGTGCTCACCACATCATCAGGCAGCAAGTTCCACTCTCTAATTGTCTTTACAAAAGAAGAATGACAGAAGCTGTTTTTTTATAGTTGTTTTGTTTTATAGTTTATGGTTTTAACCTCTGTCATACTAGCGTATGGATCGTAGTTGTTACTAACAAATCGCGCTGTTGATTTTGAAGTTTCTCTAATCTATCGATAGGATAGTGCTGTTAGGGATCCCATATAAGGCACGCATAATCAAGCATTGACCTTACGTGCCAGAAGTAAAGAGTTTCTTTTACGTCTCGGGACGCGTGTTTAAAATTTCTACGGATAAAAAACAACATCGGCGCGCATCTTCGTGCCAGCAGTCCCGCTCCTCTTGGCTAAGGCTCGCAGCAAAATTGCGGCGCCAATCATTCGTCGATTGACGGAAGCTAACCCAGGCATCGAAGTTTATTTTTGAATCAGTGCCGCGTTTCATTTCGGTAATTATATTGTTAGTTATTTTTAGGAGAATTTTATAATTGGACATTTACAGCATGTCGTTTATAGAAGGCAGATGAGTTGTCTCACTGCCCCCGAAGACGGAGCAGTGCAGCACACTGCGCGGACATCGGGGGCTGTGTTATTCTAGTGCTTTGAGCTCTTTGTCGTACGGTTTTTGCACTGCCGCAATTACTGAAATTTACCCCAAAACGCGAAGAATTATTATTATTTTTTTGTAAATCGTAAGGGTGCAGGCGAGCTGGTGAATATTAGCCATGTTGAATTAACCTGAGACTGGGGTAGAAAAGAAACATCAAAACGTGGAAGGGACAAAAGCCTGTAAAACCTTTTTTTTCTTCTTCTTTTTTTCCTTTGTGTGGGTTTCCACGTGCTTTGGCCCACCTATCATTTCCGTGTTTTTTTTTCTAGAGAAGGATCGTGTTATGATTCAGAAGTATCTGCTGTATATAGAACAGTAGGGGAAGAGTTCCTTTCGTTCAAGTTTGAGGGTGGATGGACGTTGCCTTATCGCGTCGACCTGTAAACGTTGTCAACGTTATTGCATTGTGTGATGAAGGATGTGGCGCTTGATCTGTATAACTTCGTCCTTTTTTGTTGGTGGAGATGACCTTGAGATTGAGACTATATAAGGAGGTGGACTAAATAAATGAGCTAGCTGAGTTGGAGGCGTCGTCCTGTCTATTTTCTGTCCCTTCAACGTTTTGATGTTTCTTCTCTACCCCAGTCGCAGGTTAATTCAACATGGTTAATTATTTTTTTCTAAAATATAAACACTTCTCGCTTGAATAAACGACGGCCTGACAATATCCAATTCAAATATGCCAGCTAGAGTTAATAAATAAAAGTTAGCGAATTTGAGTTAAGACACCAATTGTTCCTCTAAACTCTTTCCCTAAAGTCCTCTATGGTCGATAAAACTATTCTGCAAAAATAATATTTTTATTCCCAGTTTCTTTTTCATTTTGTATATTTTTTTCGTTTTAATAAACAAACACCCTGTATACATCATCATCATCATCATCATCATAATTTCTCAAACCTTGAAGGCCTTTACGGGCGTTACACAAGAGGGGTGCAGTACAAGCTGGTGAGCATTGTTATATAAAGCAAAGAAGAAGGAAATATGAACACTTCAACACTTCGAGGAAAAACCATGTAATTAAACGAAAAGAAAATACATAAATAAAATATTTCTACAAACACGAATCAATATTGTTAATAGTGCAACTGCAAAAGGTGGCTAGTTGGGATATGAATGTGTTATGATCTGCTTGGGGTCAGGATACCGTTGGGCAGGTTATTCCAGTCTGTTATTATTAATGGCAAGATGGAGTTAAGATACCAGACAGATGAAGCGAAAACTGGACGGACTTTACAGACATCATCAATGCGTTATAAACATATTGGCAGGTAATAATTAGAATGATAAACATTGTTTTTTTCTTACTTTTTTTTAAGTAACACCAATTTGCCAAAAGCAGCGGCATTGAAAACGTTAGAATTAGAGTTGAAGAGCGCCTACGATAGCAATATAATCTGTAATATTCATTTTGGAATTAGCACATTTTGTCGGGATAGTAAAATTGCGATACGTGTCCGAAATTGTCAGTGTGTCCAAATGCATGCTTTGTTAACTTCTTTTTCTAGTTGAAACAAATAAAACTAATAAATTTCACATGCGCATTTATTTTTTAGTGGAACACGGTGTGTGGGAACCAGTGGATGCTGGGGATATCGCAGTCAATCCTCATGTTCGGCTTCATGCTCGGCAACTTCGTTTTCTCTCATCTTTCAGACTGGTAAGTCATTTTCAAGCATTTAATAATAAATAGATACAGGGATATCAAAATTAAGAAATAACAAAAAAGCTGTAGAAAAATTTTGATTATATTCGCGAGCGCAAAAAACGAACGGATAAAAAATTGCCCCATATCCCGCACCCTTCAGGCAAAGACAGTGGAACTCGGGGAAGTAAGAAGGTACTCTTACTTCCCCGTGATGCAGTAAACAAAACCTTCTCAGGTAATTTATGTCTCAACGGCGCTTCAGTTCTCACCGCAGATGCTTCCACATGTTGAAGGTTACCGGCGATTTAATGTTTTTTTTTTCGTACTTAATATCTTGAACATTTTTAGCTTGAGAGTTAGTCCATCGCATTGCAAGCCCGGAGAGCCAATTCATTGCAAAAGAATGCACGAGAATGTTTGAAAGTACGCTCGGGAGACACTCGAATTTTCTATTTTATTGTTTACCGAAAGTTTAGAAATTTTTTTAATCCTCATTATTTTAGATTCACCGAAGTTCTAGAAAAGAGTATTTGATAATTTTCTGTCATCCCAGGCAAAGACCGAACATCCACATTTACGAGTTTTTCATCGAGGCCAGTTACGCCTGGCTTCGTCCTCAAGGCTTTCGTTTATTCAGAAAATTACGAGGAGACATTGAAAGAAATGTAAATCTTTTAACCAAGTTCCTACCTTGATTCGCCGATTTTACTGTGGCATAGCAGCTCCTGCATTTAAAAGTACTGTCAGCTGAAATAGCCAACAAGTCGATTTGCTGTATATAGAAGCGTTCCTGACTTTATTAGTTGTTTGGGAGTTTAAGACGATATACATTCTATATTTTAAGGTGTGGGCGACGTCCTGCCATCTTCGCGGGAACCTTGCTGTCCCTGATGTCGGGAGTGGCAGTTGCGTTTGCCAGTTCCTTCTCCATGTTCAATGCGTTCCGCTTTCTGGCATCTACGGGTCACGGGGGCATCACCAATGTCGCCTACACTATTGGTAAGTTTGATATCATATTTAAATCACGTCTGACGTCCTTCTCTGTAAGGGCGTTTTTGTTTCTGGTGCTGTGTGCCCTGCCATGTCCTGTCTAGAGGGTTTTTCAAGGTACTTAACCAACTTAACATGCTGAATTCAAACTGCAACCTGAATATAGCCTTTGGGGAAAATGTTTAAGTACTTCAAATGCCTTTTTAGCGCTTTGTGCCTTCTTAGACGCGTCATGAAGCTACGTAGCTATGTCGTGAGGCTTTGTGAACTAGCTTTGCAAGGCAAGAAAGTGTAGCCCGATTATTAGCCTTGAAATGTCTCATGAAAACATGTAAAAAGCAATCGTCCTTGACTTGGTGGTTTCGAACTCCTATAATTATCCTTAAAAGGCAACTGACAACTTCGACTCTTCTAAGGCTGATTAGTTAGCCTAACGCCTCAGAGGAGCTGCCGGTATTGCTCCCGTTGGAAACAATATAAAAAGGTCAGTTTTAGTTGCATCATACACTTAGGCCATAAAATTTGTTCTGAAAACTAGAAGGACTCGTCTACAAAACGTCTGAACGCTTTGTTAATTAGCAGAGTAATTTGTATTATAAACGCACGTTTCGAATTATTCGCGGGAAACAACCTCGTCCATCGAATTCACTTTTCTCTGTTTCTTTTTGTTTCGGCCACAAAACCGCGTCAGTTTTTGCTGCGCACTTGGCTGGGCCTCGCCTCCTTCGCCTTCGTCGCGTACTTTACGTTAATCGGCGCCTCTATCCTAAGTGTGACATATATAAATGATTTCCTATCGGTCATGGGACCATTTCCGCGTGCTCACGAGTAGCGATTAACGGCCAGCAGCATTAGGTCTTATCTTTGCGTGTGGCTTTCATGGGACTAGCCACAACGTGGCGTCGGCAACGTTTATGCCCTTGGTCCAAGTTCTTGCACCAGTCATCTTCTTGCTCGAAGATGACGAGAAAGAAAGCAAACCCCCACTATCCCTGAAGTTGGCGTAACTATCAAATCCTTACGTCTGCAGGTGGTGTTGCCGAAACCATAGTTTTTTGTAGTGCAATACTACTCCATGCTTGGATGAGCCCCCACGTGAAATCTACGATAATTTCTGTTTATACTTCGTTCACCCTAAGTTCAGGCGCATACAACGTTACAAGTTGATGAGACCAGCCAGTCAGCGTCAAAGGCGTACCATCGTCATGTTTCTCAACGTGTCCTATTATCGCTGGACCAATCATAAACAAAACATACCTAGTGACTTGAGCTTTTGAGGCTGCTTAATTGGTCCCAGTACCTGGTAGCGTTGGCAGCGTCTGGCCTTTAGCTGAAATGAGGTATAATCTATTGGCATCACTTCAGACTAATGCCTACGTGAATGTGAACAAAACGGAATTGTTTCGACTTGAGACTGAATATGTTATATTTATATTAGGCAGTGATCGGCTTCTTCACACTTTCTCGTGAACGGCAATCACGGTCACACACAATAGTACGTTACGTGTAGAAAACTATCAACTTCTGAAATGCTTGTTTCATATTATTTGGAACAATGACGCTGGAGGAAACTTCCTTTATGTTCAAGCTCACTCATGCGTGAGAGTCTGCGAGTTGAAATGCTTAACCGAGCGCCTTCGTGTTTTGCTGTTTGTCAGTGGGATACCTAGGTTCATCAGTAAGTGTCAGCACGTTACTTGGAGTAAATGCACCTAATTTTGGCCCTGTCCGTACGCCCATGTAGCAATTTGGATGCACGCTTGCATATCTGTTTTGCTCGAGTGTGTTACAGTGCACTTGGGTATGCAAGGAATGCGGCCATATCGTAACATTAACACAAAGCTGAGACAACTGTGGGAGTTTTATACTTTTGAGATGTCTTCTGGTTAAAGTTTGCATCCCAAACTCAAATCCAGAAGGTTGAAGCGCAAAATTTTTAGTCAGAACCCTGAAAGTTCCGGATATAAATCATGGCACTTTCAAATGCGTCTAATGCTTTTGGTACAAACTTGCGTTTTATTATTTAGTTTTTAAGTTCAAGTTCTAGCAATTAATTTACTCTGTCATCTTGTTAACGTTCATCACCTGCTCAGCATCGGTGGTGTTGCAGTAGTAACAAATTTGATTACCTGTTGAGAAACAGGGTCGATCCTCGATTATTAATGTATTTTGTGGACCGCAAGATACAAATTGAAAACTACAATGCTGAATTTCAAGCTATAAACTCGTGCTTCTTTTATTATATCATAAGATATGTGTTTAAATGTTCCACATACATAATCATAATCTTTATTTGGAGAGTTCGAATGTTATTCTAGGGGGCGTGCGAGGCGAAAGGAGAAAGGCGGAAGCCCGTACGCGGGCGCGCCAATTCCCCGAGAAACGAAAATTGCATCCAATACCAAATGAACGACTGTACATATTAATCTAAATACACACTCGGTAACATGCAGAAGTGTCATGTTTTGTGATTGACCCTGAATAGACCGCATTTATTTTTGCAACGATTATGTCTGTTTTTGTTTTCTTTTTATAAAAACACAAGAAAGCATACATGCGCTTTGTTTAGAAAAGAAAGAAAGGGAAGTATAGAGTTAACAGAAATTGCATGAGTACACTCGTTGATCCCATCCATTTCTTAGGATTGACAACAAAGTTTCCACACTCCTCTGAAATTTTATTACTGTAATCCAAATCTCACATGTTTTATGAAATATTTACTTACCCAGCGTTGAACAAGTAGGACCTCTATGTTTTAGCCGATTTGGCCCTGCCCTTTGTGGCTTCAGTTCACAGCTGTGTTCGCCTTCATATCGAAGTGTTCGCTGTCTAGGTGGAACGACTACAAAATGGTAGTCTTCGCTTTGCAGCCATCGAGTGCGTGGCCCCTCGCAAGCGAGCTCTGATTTCCATGCTCCAGGAAGTCGGCTGGGTTCTGGGCCTCATTGTACTTCCCGGTCTGGCCTACCTCCTCACCAACTGGGTACATCTGCAGCTCGCCATCTCCGCGCCTTTGATTATCATGCTGCTTGTCGCCTAGTGAGTATGATACGTAAACGTGTAAACAGTTTTATGCTTCGTAAGATAGGCCTGCGTTCTAAGAGTAATGTGGGCTGTGCGCGCTTCCCACCCACAATAAATTTTGTGACATAGCGAATTTGTAAGCTGCTGTGATAGACCTGGCAGCTCATATTCACTGGCAACGTAATAACGGAAATGTTTTATGTCAGAGGCGCGCGTGGTTTTGGAAAACGGTTCTCGGCTCGTGCTAAAGTATTGTGCATGTGCGTTTGCAGCCTTTTCTGTACTTCTGCAAGTTCTTCGACTTAAAAAAAAATAATACAGAGACACAGACCAATAGCGCGGGACCAAATAGCATATAACAAAAAAGTACTGTCAAACTAGCACATGTCAAAACAACAGGACGCGATGAATGAATTGAGGCATGGCACTCAAGTCGAAGTCGCATCAGCGCTAAATATTAATTTAGCACACCGTTATTCATTTTATTTCAGTCACTGCTAGCAGCGTACGGTGTGCTACCATGTTTAAGAACTTGAATATTAGAAGTTTCATTGACTGTTTATATTGGTGTGGACTTTATATTATGTGTTTTGCGAAAGTTTATGTATTGTACTTTCTTTACATTTTGAGTCCTTCTTCCTTAGATTATTTACTCGTGTGCATTACACGCTAAATTGTTCACATTTTGTTGAGGACACATCTATGTAGCCAAAACGAATTTCGATGACTGACAGACATAAATATGGGGCTTACAGCATATATAATATTTGAAAGTCAGAGGTGAACGGCGCTCGAAAGGGAATTACCCCTGTGTAGTGCTCTTCCGCTTAAATTGAATGCATCTTCGTTATTTTTAAAAATAATTCTCGCAAATAAATCAATTGCATTTCACCGAAGCAGCAAGACATTTGCCTTATATATATTGCGAGCTGTATTTCTATTTGCTTAATTATTTATAGATGCCAGTTCCTTCAGTGCATGTGAGCTCTGAGTTTAACGTCGACGATGGCAATGCGTTTTGACTCTCAAAAATATTAATTTATTGTAATGAGCTTGAGGTGTGAGCTGACGAGATAGAACTGGTTAGCAAATAATTTTCAATAGACAAGGGAGCATTGTGCTAAAACTATTTAACACTGCATAATTACGCAATTTGAAGAATACTACGATAATGCTTTCAGAGAAATACATTAGAAGCACAATTTACTAATGCAGATTTCGTTGTTCATTGGTCAAAAAGGGGCCATTTTCGTTTGTGCAGTTGTCAAGTCGTGCTCTTTTGACGCTTTGATGCTTGCGCCCTTAACCATGGTGTTTTGTTGCGTGCGGCATTTTCGCACCCTGCACTGTCGTGCCAAAATATACACAGGTTAACATAAGAACTCTTCCATGCTTCTATTACATGTATTTGTAAGTTATTCAAGTTTGTGACGTCAGTTTTGTTACTAAATTTAGCGGAAAAACTGAATGCGCACTGTTGAATTATGGGACACCACAGACCTACACACCAATGCAGTTTGTTCGCTAAATTTAGCGGGGAATCGAATTGGTGTATAGGTCTGTGACGTCCAATAATGCAACACGCGCGGTTACGCCGACACCGACGCCGCTATACGCGGAAACGGGCGCCTAAGAGCTGCGCTCTAAAACGACAACCTCGCAGATAGTTCACTAGGAGCTGTGCACCGGCTTGATACAAAGTAAAGCTTCAGATAACGGTTGCCTACCCTACAACCTAGGTCTTTTTACTCGTATAAAAAAAAAAAAGCTGCAGTTCGGGAGTTTTTATTGATTTTGATATAGCCGGATTTTTTTTTTTAAATTTTATTCATTTATTAATTTTTTGGGGGGAGGGGAGTTCTTGGTTGATATTCAAACACGGAGCCCTACTTACAACATATAAAGCGCACGCGTCACGTGCACAATCAAAGAACGCGGTGAACTGAAGTGGTCGGGGTTTAGGTTACTTTCCCCTTTGGAAAAAGTGCGAAGTTCCTAACGACATTAACGTTCCATCACTACTTCCCTAGCATCATGGAAGAATCTCCCAGGTGGCTTCTGGTTGTTGGCCGGTTTGAAGCGGCAGAGGCAGTCCTTCATAGGATTGTCAAGAGAAATGGTCTCCACGTAAGGGAGATTGAGAAGCTGGTTCTGGAATCTAAAGAGAAGGTTGAGCTGGTAAGTCTGAACTACTTCCTTAACATTGTTGTAGAAATGTACAAGCGAGTAGGAGAAATAATTTTTATTTTGTTTACCTCTAGTTTTAGCGAGCCATATTAGGATCTATATAGATCGCATGACTGCACCGTGAAATGGTGCTATTCTGTTCCCGTTTGATTCGATATGGAATAAAAAACGAAACATTTCGTTATTCAATAGTTCACTTCCGCGGGAAGACAAAAAAATATGATGAATGAGATTGCACCGCGCCAAAAGCACAAAAACACGATTTTGGAGCACCTGTTGAATATTTCGGTGTTTAAACACTGCCGACAAAATGGCTTCAAAAAATCAACCAAAAATGCTTACTTATTTTTTATATATACTTTGATTGTGTAAGCTTCAAACTATGAGATTCGCCCTTAGAGGAACAAGTCAACCATCTTGGACTTGTTCGGCTCGTGGAAGGATCCAGCTTGCCTGTACAATACATTATGCACGGCAATTTATATCACACGCTTGTAACTCGGTTTGTGGGTCACGAGGAATGTGAAGACCAGAAAATTCAAGATGTCATTTAAACGCCGAGGAAAAAATGGAAAACGACGTAGTTCTTGGAGATTATTTGTTTTTCTACAAAACTACTAGATTAGGAGCTGATTGACGCACCTCCAAGAAATGTTGCATATTCTATCGAGTTGCAAGAAAACAAATGCATAGTTTAGCATAACGTACTTACTGTATTAAAAAAGTTGAAGACTGGAAAATGAAACGAATAAGCAAAGGCGTGTTAGCCACTGCTATCTTTAACTTTACGGTTTTTGATAATTAGTTTCATGTGGTCTTTCCAAACCTTTTCAATTTGCTAAATAACACAATTAAAATTCAACTGGGGATCTTTTTTGAGTGAAATGCGCTTATCAAATCATTATTTGATGATGTTACATTACCATACTGCTAGACGCAAAAACAAAATATCACTTTTCAATCAACTGTTGAGGTAGTTGGCGTACTTTGTTTTTTACGAGTGAAAGAGTGAACGTTGCGGTCACTAAAAGATATTTTAAAATATTTACAGCAATTTCCTTACACCAAAAGTCGTTCCTCGTCATAACAGCACGTTAGGGCAAATAAGCGTCAACATATCTGACCTGTTGCATATAATTTGACATAAAAATGCTACACCAACATTGAAGTGTTTTATTCCTTTGTACTAGTGCGTTCCTGCCACCAAATTCCTGATTTCCTAACAGTTTGTCCTCCTCTTTATTACAGGAAGATAAGAGGAACAAGTCAACCATCTTGGACTTGTTCCGCTCATGGAAGATAGCAATCATCAGTATTTCTACTCATGTCCAGTTGTAAGTATTCATTCATTCAAATATATGAAGCTAATTAAATGAAGCATGATACAAGTATATATATATATATATATATATATATATATATATAGCAGAAACAATAAACATAAGAGGACAAGACACAGGCGGGAATATTTGTTCAATTGAAATTTAAAGAATGTGCCTGTGTCGTTCTCTTACTGTTTTATTATTTCTGCCACCTATATACTCATCCTAACACGCTCTTTAGGAATATACAAGTTTTCCAAAACACCCGGTATAAACGTGCTAATAAAAGAAGTCGCAAAATATACTGACATACTAGAATAAATAAATATGTGTAAATTCATGCTGCGATTTCAGATGATGGCTTAATTTATTTCGAGGCTCACATAGCCGGAACCAGTCTATTACAAGTAAACACAATAAAGCCGTGAACATGTTTATACAATAGGCAAGCACTGCGAGCCCACAAAAGTTATCTGTAAATTACTTTTTTTATAGACAATTAGAAGTGTAAAAAAGATATTTCTAAAGAAATAACTGATTTACTGAAATAGCGTGGCCACATGTTGGAACCTCAGGGTGCGAGTGCGAAGTGATAATTAGTAAATTATTTACCAAAGCGGAAGTACTATATTTTATATAAATGTTAGTCGGACAAGGTATTTTACAATTAGAGCTCGTAAGTAGCCAGTATGAGTAGTCGGCCGGAATCAGGTTGTGGACTGCAAAAATTTAAGTTCTGCTTTGTACTATTGTGTATTTATTATACCCTCTCAAGGGCCTTCAACTGCAAGTTAAGGTAAAACATGGCAGGAACTACATTTGTGAGAGGCGTCAGAGGCCGTTACAGTCAAGCTAGTTGGCGCGACATCATTATCCATAGTAACCATATGTGGGAGAGTTCATTCATATCAAAAAACCGAAAATTAAAACAACAAATTATAGAAAGATCAAACGTCTAAACACCAACAAATCGAAATCGAAAAAAAAACAACACGAAAAGTATTATAGAAAAAACGCAACACAGTTAAAATATCGCAAACATCATGATTCTGAAAACCCATATTGCGAAAAGGGCGAAACACAAAACAGCGAAAAGTAAACATACCTCCTTATCTCATGACCGAACTTCCTTCGCACTGTCTTGTTAAGAGAAGCCAACTCTGACCGTGTACAACCTGCGTTATCGGCTTCGTGTTGGCCTCGTTGTATCGTATAAAAACTGCAATGTTGGCGTGGTCTTGCAAATGTCACTTCATTGCAGTTTTAAAGATAATTATTCGCCTTGTCATCATCACCGCGCCGTTCGTTTGAGGTCACAGTACCCTCCATTTCTCCGGTTGTCCGCAATTACTGTGGACAACACGGGCAGCGTCAAAGCATTAAACCATATTTGAGGAATCGCGCAAAATCAGTCAGTGTGAATTTTAGTAAACAAGGGACCCCTCTGCTATAAGGCAGAAGAATCAGAATGTGTTTTTGTTTTTGTTAATAAAGCCTGAGCTACGCGGAGAAAGGTTCAAAGAAAATCGTAGACTGATTCAGAAAACAGAATTTCATTATTTTTTACATATTTCCGGAGTTTGATAACACTTCTTTTTCACGCAGAATTCAGAGGCCTCAGTAATGAACAATTTAAAAAAAAAAGTAAATAGGATGACACTGAGATGAGCGAGCATAGTAAAGATTGCGAGCTGATTCGGCCATTTCTGAGAGTTTTTTTTTCACGGCCTTTAAATTTGCCCGTGAAAAAGAAGTGGTGTGCAATCTGAGCTAGAGCTAACGCCTCGCGCTTCGCAAGATGTGCGCGTGAGTGTTGCGCCATCGCTCCATTTCGGGTTTTATATTCTACTTTAGTGGCCTGTAATTGCTTAAAGTGTGCAATACATTTGTATTGAACAATCATCTTCCAAAGGTGTTATAAAATAAATATAAAGGAAAGATTTTGCACTAAGGCCGTTGTAATGTATAATATTTGTCAATTAAATGAATGATGGCATGAGTTCAAAGGTGTTATTGCGTCGTGCACAGGTGTATACGGAACAGGAAAGCTCTACACAATTGCGGGATGACGTGAATAAAGTTGCACAATACTGCAAAAAGTTGAAGTTGAAGCTCAACGTAAAGAAATTGGATCATGTTTAGCTTTAGTCAGAAAAATAAAAATAAGTTTATATCTTCTTTCAGTTGATTGCGCATAAAACGCAAACATAGGCGATGCTGTAATAAGGGCCGGGAAAACACTTAAATTTCGGCGTTGAACATTAAAAAAAAAATTAAACCAGTTTACGAAAGAGCTTGCATATATTGCCTATGTTCGCCCGGCGTTGGAGTATGCTTGCACTGTCTGGGATCCTTCCTAATGATAATGCCTATCCGCGCCTACCGCTTCGTCCTGAGAAGGCATGACTTTTACGCAAGTGTCACTGATTACTGATAATAATGATGAGCTACGATAAAATTCATTATTATTCCAGCAAAAATACGTTTAGAGTTTTTATATAGTATCTATCATAAAACCACTGGGCAACAGTAGTTTATCATAGCTATGATCTCCTAATTACATTTTACAACGTCACTATCACATTCACAAGGCACACAGGCTCCTTACGAAGAGGGAATTAGGCATGAGTGTTTTTTTTTCTTTTGTTAAAACAAAGGAATGCTCTGCATAGTGAGATTGCTAGCGCGGCTAGTGCGAAAGGTTTTTTTTTTTTTTTTTTAATATTTGCTTGACTTTAGTGTTTTATGTCGCTAGGGGGTTCAAACGAATAATTAACAAAGAATAAAATTGCATCATCTTCATGCATTGCAAAGAATACTGTTTCAGGTGTCATATTCTGAAATTTTATATCTTCGGCTTTATATTGGACAAATTAATTTCTCGGCAATTTCAATTCCGATATTCCGATATTTCGGCGTTATGAGTTGTGCCTGTTTGAGTCTTCGGCATTTCATACTTCCGCGTTGCGATAATACTGCGGTTTGAGTTTGGCCATTTTCGATTCTTCGCTCGTTGAAATCGCACGTTAGCCACCAAGACGTGTCATATGAACGTTACATTTTTGGTACATTAGGAGCGGCATCGTTCGAACGATTTTCGTTCATTATTTCCGTCTGACTTGTCTATGTAGCTTAAAGTTTGTTTTGCATGTACAAAGCAGCATTTCGTTTTCGACAGCTGCCGATTTAACGGCAACCTACACGTTCCTAATGAAGGCGTGGCGTCAAGAACCATTGGTTCGGTCTTTCTGTAAAGCGCCGATGTCCGCCGCGACCGTTATACCGAAATAATTGAAAGTTTTTGTCTCAAGAATTATTGGCGTAGAAATATTTCCAGTATTCAGAAAACACACGCCCATAGGGCTTGCTTCGTTGAAACGCAATGTCCAAATATCTTAAAGCACTGCTACTCTTAAGGTCGCAGGGTTGAGTACTGTGACCCCTTTTATTTCTTGTATTTATTAATGACATATCATCGACCATTAACTCGTTCATAAGGCTGTTTGCGGAAGATTGTGTTTTGTACAGCAGGGTAGACAGTGTTGGTGATTCAGCTTTTTTGCCGTCGGACGTAGATAAAATATCAGATTGGTTCAGGATTTGGGAGTGGGGCTTAAATGTGGAAAAGTGTGTGCAAGTCACTTTTGGGAGGAAACCTAACCCTGTTCCATCATGCCATTTTATTGATGATCATAGATTAAGTAATAACAGTGATGTTAAATATCTTGGGATTACTTTGTCAAGCACCCTTTATTTTTGATGTTCATGTCACTGGAACTGCTAAGAAGGCCAGCCGCACTTTAAATTTTCTTATTCGAAATTTACGCGGTGCTCCACACAAGCTAAAAAAGACTGCCTATTGAACAAAAGGTAAGGGCACAAACGAGCTGGTGGTGGTTAAACATTTCGAAAAAACCCTGAGACTGGGACAATAAAGGACGGACAAACTTTTGAGCTGTGTTTGAGACTTTGTGTTTGTCCGTCCCTTACTGTCCCAGACTCAGGGTTTTTTCGAAATGTTTAGACTGCCTATTGCTGTTTGGTAAGACCTACACTGGAATACGCATGTGTTTTGTAAGATCCGCATCAGAAGTACCTTGCAGATAAGTTAGAAAAACTTCAAAACCGTGCTGCGAAGTTTGTGACATGAAATTATAGTAGGAACAATAGCATAACAGAGACGAAAAATGTACTTGGTTGGGAAACTTTATTGTCAAGGCCCAGAGATTTTTTATTGAGGTTCTTGCTCGCAATTTTTAATGATATGACTGGTATTGATAAAAGCAACTACATAAAATTTCCTAACTACATTTCAAATCATGTGGATCATACCAGAAAAATAAGGGAAATTTTTCGTAGAACAGATTATAAGAAGTTTTCATTTTTTCCACGCTGAGTGGAACCTGTTACCAGAGTCTTTGTTTATTCGCGACGACGTGGGACCATTTATCTCAGGAAATGGTTTTGGTTTTTAATGTTGTTTATGTTCTCTGTTTATGTATTTTCTTTATTGAAAGCCCAGGTTGTACATTCAAGTGTTCTGTTTTTTTTAATATATTATTGAGTGTATTAATCCATGGGCTGTACCTGCTATAATGCCAAGTTTTCGGCGCTGCAGCTTCTTTTCTGTAAATAAAATTTAAACAAAACGGCATATGAAAGCGGGTGGATTTCATTAAAATGTGGTCATACTTTTATGGGGCAAGATTGGTGCATTGAACTATATTTAGGGATACTGTAATATAAGTAACTAATAAAGAGCAGATATAACTTTCTATTGCAGTGCGTAGGTATCATAATTATGGGCAAAATAAAAACGACTTAAGAAGTTAATAAATTGTGGATAGACTAACAGTAATATGAAGGTTACACTGGCATAATTATGAAGTAATTTCTCTCTAAGACTTTTTGCGTAAACATTTTCTTATTCCTCTTTGACCAATCGAAGTTGTAAACTATAACGTGCCTGAAAAAAAAATCTTCCTTAGGAATCTTTAAATGCTCAAAATCAGAAAAGTGTCTTGTGCTTACAGGAGTGAAAACTAAGGCACGCCAGTGAATGCCAGTTTCACCTGCGTTTAGAATACATTGCTTTGATATTGCAATTGAACTGAAATGGTCTACAACTCACCACAATACGAAAATATAGCAAACAATGCCATCTCTAAACGTATTGGCTTCCGTTCGTCATCGTTTAAAAGTTTATATTGACCAACCATTTTTTTTTAATTGAAAAAGTACACACGACACAATCTGTAAACCTGCATGTAAAAAATTCTGTGCATGCTCGGCAAAATAAAAATCCCGTATCTTGACAGTAAATATTTGGTTCGTTTTTCCTTACAGAGCAGTCGTGGTGTTGCTATATTACGACCTCATCTACAAGATAACGGACTTCGGAGGAAGCCCATTTATCAACTTCTTACTGGTGGCCTTGCTGGAAATTCCTGTGATACTGGGGGCCATGGTGGTTATCAACTACCTTCGACGGCGGGTCATTTATTTCATCCTCTACGTTCCCTCAACTGTGGCTTGCCTAACATTAGCATTTGTGCCAGCCGGTGAGTAGACTTTTATATTTCCCGTTTTTCTGTTGCAAATTCCAATATATATATATAAAAAAACAATTGCTGCTCTGATAATTCCATTGTCTCCAATGTGTCAAAAAGGAGTAATGGTATCAATCACACACTTTATATGAAGGAGTCACTGTTTCGAAAACCTTTCCTGATTGATATACATGGCTTGTTCGTGACGTTACCGTTTCATGCTAATGGTCGTTCCTATAAAAAAATCGATGATACAATATGTGCGCTACAAAAATAATCGCTCAGCAGTAATGCCACCGCAATGTTAGCCGATGTGACGTCAGTGGAGACCATGTGTCCGTGGCGTGTATATTATGTGACATACGCTGACATTGTGTACTCGTTCCTACTTGTCCTTGGCAAGTTAAAACAAATTTGGTGGCGCAAATTAAGTACTAGAAAAGGTACACGCCCAGAAGTAAGGTCAACACAATGGCATTTAAAATGACGTTAGTGAAAGTTATGTACACCCGCTTTCCATGTGATGTTATCCCATCATCCTCGTCGCTATTCCTACTTGTCCTTGTGGAGAAAAATATAATCTATAGTGCAAATACTGCGCTGCAAAAAGCACACACTCAGCTGTAAGGTCACTAGAATTTCAGCTGATATGACGTCAGTAAACGCCACATACAGAAGCCACTGATCAGCTAATCTAGATGCAACATATGAATAAATTAGTAAAAAAATTATTGGGGAGCGCTGTGCAGCGTCTAATTTAAATTGTTTTTATCTAATTGAGATTACACGAAGAAGTGTATCTCACGGTATATTTTGGACGTGTGGTTTTGCAGACATGGTGTGGTTTCAACTCGCCCTGGTGATGGTAGGGAAGTTTTGCGTGCAATGTGCCTACAGCGTGATCTGCGTTCAAGTCACAGAGTGCTTCCCCACTGTGGTGCGAGCTGTCGCTCTGGGAAGTGCACTAACTGCCAGCCGGGTTGGTGCGATCGTTGCACCTTTCTTCAAAGATCTCGTAAGTTAGCGATTCGTTGATGGTGCTCTAAAAACCTTTGCTTTCAGGCATATGACTCAGCGAAATGTTGTATCGCTGCCCCGTGGCATGACTTGATAGAAAACTGCAAAACGTAAAATTTGCCCCGAACTGGTTGCCGAAATAATCAAATTTGCGAATCCAAGCAAAATGAGCCCTCGTTGCGTACATTTTGTTTTGCCGAACACACATACATGAAGCGCATGAATTAATAATGCCTGCGCTAAATCTCTATAGGATTTTGTTTTGTTTAACATTTTACTTTCTCTCCATTCTTACTATTTAGACTTAAGTTTAACTGGTTAAACTTTTACATTGTTTCTTGCTCTTTTCGCCGTGAACGATACCAGCCCTTGGCCTAAGTCTGTACACATTAAACAAAACTAAAAAGGATTACAAAGCAAAACAAACGAAAAAAAATATGAATCTAAAAATAAAGCTATAATAGGAAAAGACCAGATGCATATGTCATCAAGGTGCGAACGAGCGTCTTGGAACTATTGCGGGGGAATAACACATGTAAAAATAGTTTCTTTCACGGCTATAGAAAAGCTGTAACCGATCATTGGAAACACGACATGAATGCTCAGTGGGCAGAGAGTAAAGAAAATCCAAAACGTTTTAGTGGAACATAAAATCAAATGTCATTAAAAAGCAAAGAGACCTCGAACATGATATTAACTGTGTTGTACAGTAGAATATCGCTTATATTTATGGTACTTTTGTGCAAGTGTACTTCACCAAGCGGGGTAGGGAGCAGGTCGTAGTTAGAATGATCGTCTTCCAAACCCTCTATTATAAACAATTTGCACGGGGCAGCCTTGAACCTAAAACAAAGGGGAATTGCATAAATCTGACAACGTTTCACACGACGGAGCAGAGCTTCCGCTTCTGACGAAACAAGAACGCAAAATAAATTAATCCTGCTTAAAACGAACTAAACATTTTCCTTATTCTAGAGATAGCGTCCAGGACTTAAAACTGATAAGTAAAAACATTCAAAACGTGCGAAATGAAATAACATCTGAATAAAACAGCTTTCCGGGGTCACGTATATGAATAGCCATGCTGGCCCTTCGGATGAATAAAAAAAAAAAGCGTGATTTTACATTGGTGCAGTATCAGATTATTTTTCAAGCGCCAATTTTTCACTACATTATCTCAGTGAAACCGAACTCACGAAATGTTTCAATCACCAAGTCATAATCCACGAGATCAAATAACTTTTGAGCCATCAAAATAAATAGCATAAACTTTGCCCTCTAGAAGTGACCTTAGGTAATGTCTACTCAAGCAATTACACAAGATTTGATTCCACTGACCGTTCCTGACTGACACCATGCTGGTTGAGACAACGGGATTGATTGAACTGAACATAAGTGTACTTGTTCATAATAACCCCCAATACCACGGCAAAAATCAAAATATAAATATTATCTTGGAGGTCTTACAAAGACCGGCATGACTGTATTTAAATATTGGTACAACTGCCATGTATTTTCATCCAAGTGACAAAACCAACCCCCTAAAAAAGTTTAGATATAAAGCAGCACTGGAGTAAATATATTTGAACCCACCTAAGTCATTTCCTACGAGGCAAACTTACGAGGCAAATATTCAGTTGAAAGTAGCGCATCCTTTCGTCTATTCCTTCTGTTGTCCCTGTTTTCTGGCGCTTTTCGAATCTAAGATGTACCAACTTGCCCAACTCCAGACTCTGCTACGAGGCAGTTTTGTGCCACCTAAAATAACTCCTTATTTTCTGAAGGAGATGTAGTAAAAAACAATCATCATTTTATGATACAAAAATATTTTCACTGACAGTTCTGGCATTATGACTTCAGATTAACGGATCTATTTTAGTTCATGAAACATTTGCTTTTTTATTTGTCGAACATATGCTCTTGCAGAACGTTTTAAGTTCATACAGCTAGACATAAATGGGAGTTCTTATTTTACACAAAAGGTTACGAAAATTATACAATTGTTCATCTATTCTTCTGCAACTCGACAGTCCCGTGCACCTGGCGTAATTAATAAGGTTGAAAAAGTCAATAAATGCACAAGACGCAAAAATAACATTTCCCGTGGTGGTGAATGATCTACATCTTAGGTTTATTCGACTTGAAAAACAAAAAATTACTAGATTAATTTAAGATGATAAAGCTAGTAAACAGGCGAGCTGGTTTATGTTGCATATTGTTAAGACCGGCGACGACGGAACGAATGCCGGTTTTGACGATCTGCATTAATTTAAGACTGTTCGTGATTTAATTTTTCTGCACAAGGTTGCAAATGGTGCTGTTGATTCGGCTCAACTCCTTGCAAAAGCGAACTTTCATATTCCATTCCGAGTAACTAGACATTTTGTTTGTTTTGATGTTCGCTCGCCGTGTAACACCTCACCTCTCTTACGGATTCAGTCATTATATAATACCTTCGCTCCACCCCACCTTGATATATCTGCATCAATTTCTATGTAGCGTCGTGATTTAAATGATATTATTCTAGTCCCTTAGCATTATGTTTGTCTTGGATGTTTTATTTTTTTTTTTTAGTAAATGTTTAGAGCCTATGTACTTGCTTGCTCATTTTGCATGTTGTGTTGGTGCACCAATACGAAGACCAATGGGGTTGTTTTTGGGCATCCGAAAATAAAGATTATTATTATTATTATTAAGACTTATGTTCAGATACTTAATGTGAGCCTGAGAACTTCCAAAACTATAATCCAGGAAAACAAAAAACGCCGCGCTCAAGATCAACAAGTGAAATGACAGAATGACCATACAATGATTTACCCTTACCCAGGATGCGCAGTATCACTCTGTTCCTTACTCTTAAAATATCACGCATGATAAACTCTATGCGATATTACGAACCTAGATATACCAGGGCCACTTTCACAATACATAATGAATATAGGCCTTTGGGTACATTAACACTTCTCTCCTAACATACGAACTGAACAGCCTAGTAGAAGTTCAAGTAGCTTGTTGTGGGGATGTTAACTGGTGTATGAGGAGGGGAGAGGAGATATTGGACCTGTGTGTTAGTAGTGACAAGATTCAAGTAAAGGTGTTTAACGAAAAAAGGAGTTAGTCCCCGACAATAAAAGACATTGTAATAGACTATGTAGGAAAACGAAATATCTGGAGGCATGGCTTAATGACTGAAGGAAATATATGGTGGAACATGAAGAAAGTACAGTTCGAAAAAGGAAAAGAAATTCAGCTATTTTAAAACGCAAAGCGCAACGGAACTATAATAGATACGAAGTCGTCAGGGATATATCGATAGGAGTAATGATGCCAGGACTTTATTTTGGGACTGTCTTTTGATAATGATGTACTGTGTGCGAGGTCAGGGGTTCAATCAGGATTGGAAATTCAACAAAGCAGTGTGGCCAGATTGTCACTGGAAACGCATGGGAACACCGTGAATATGGGAGTACAGGAGGACATCAGCTAGTCGTTCTTTGAGAGCAAAGAGGGAATTCGTAAATTGAAATTTGAAGAAAGTTTGACTGAAAGGGATGGTACCTGGTGGACACTGAAGAATCCAAGTATTTATACAAAATAAGTAAACACAAACTGGACAAACCAAAAACAAAAGCTGACATTTAAATACTTAGACACCAATAAGTTGAGCAGACTGGTTCAGTGGGAAATAAGAGGAGTGAAAGAGGCAGAAAATAAAAACTTGGGAGGAAAAAATAAAAAAAAATAATCCGCCTTAACAGTCTACAGTTCACAAAAGCAGGGCATAAGAAAGAATAATGTGTGTTGCTAATTAACGGCGAAGTCTTTGCTGTCTGGGGTGAGAACGGCAGTGTTAAGGCCAATGATGTATATGGCTAAATGTCAAGCTCCTATTCAGTATGCCACAGTTAGAGTGAGACGATGGAACATTTAATTTTGAAGAGCAGAGTTATTAGCCCTGCCCTTTCTGAAGTTGTAACAGACTTGGCGGGGGCGTTGAGTTTTGATGGCAAGGTTGGAAAAGGAGGGAGGAGAGGATTATTGTTACTAAAAGGAGGTGAGACGATTGGTAAAAATTATATAGGGAAAATTTAATGAACTACAACTAGCACAGCTGGGCAGATGGGGGCTTACTCACTGCTCCGTCGATGTGGCTCAAAGTCTAGAACTTGTCTCCCAGTGGGTTTGATGTTGGGGTACCTCCGACAATGTTTGTCCTTTTGAAACTATGGTCGCTCGTATAAACACAGCCTCCTTTCCGTGTCTATAAGCTCGACCGTGTTTCCAAAAATTCAGCACCAACTCGCCCAACAGTCAGCATTGATCAGGGCTCGACCTCAGGAAAATCAGTGACTCTTTTACCAGAAGGAAAAGGTGGGAGTGCGTTTTTTTTTTTGGTCACCTTAAAGTCATTCTCGCAATATACCCTAAAGGTCATCCTGGTGACAGTTACAAACATGTAAGGCGAAGGAAATCGTCTTAGGAAGAAGAATAAAAAAACATTTTTACCGTTTTAGATTTTTTTTTTTAATTTGGGCACGCTGCCACCCGTTCTAAGGAATACCGCCGTTAGCATCCACGCATCCAAGCCCGTTTTCCTACATCTTTTCTTGCTTTCTTTGAAAAGGTAGAAATGGGCTATATTGGTGCGATCGCGTTGAACGGAGGCTGTGAAAAAATTGTTTCTAGGTTTGGGATAAACAGGTGGGGTTGAGGGCGTTAAACAAAAAACCGTGACACATATAATACTACTCAAGAGCCACAAGCAACATATCAGAGTTTGCAAGGATTAACAAAAAGTATACTTTCGGAATTTATGGGATCTGATTTAACCGACGTTTACGTTCATCGTTTGCGATGTGCAGTTCTTTCACAACGACGTCCCATTGTCGCGTTACTCTAAACTGTTCACACTCATATTCGCATAAGTGTGAACGTAACTGTCTTACACTTCTCGCGTCTCGCTCTTCGGACTTCTTATCGGCTACCTCCGCAATCTCCTTGACTGCGGAGTGATATTAGGATGCTCAGAGTACGCCATACTCTGTTTCACAAGCTGTCAAGTGCCCGTATACTGCTCTGCGGGATAATTTAAAAGCGCATTGTTTTTGACGGAACAAGCTGTCGCAAGAACCCGAGCAGTATAATACGGATCTCGTATCCTATCATGTTTAGGTGCCAGCGAATGACAGCTGCTAATATTTGTAGGCAGAACCTAGCAACAAAGAGCCAAGCATTGACTTTCTTGGTGATGTCGATCGGTAGGCAAAATATGAAGTCACCGGTAGCCCAAGGTGATTCAAGCTTTTTTTTGTTGCTTCGGGATGCGTTCCTGGAGGTTCTTACGTGATGATGTCGCAACCTCACTGGCTACAAAGCGATAGTAAGGTGTTTTGTACTTGACACGCCACTGCGTTTCTTAAACTGTCCCTGGCTATAATGATAGAAGTCAAGCAGGCGGAATATCAGTGATATTCTGCATACAAATAGGTGACATTCTTGTTTATCTGTTCTCTTTCTTTCATTTTTTGTTTTTCTTACAGGGAAGAGTAACGCATCCCTGGGTTCCGTCTGTACTGGACGCGTTGCTTGCCGTCGGTTCTCTTTTGTTGGCCCTGCTTCTTCCAGAGACGTTCCGAAAACCGCTTCCGGACTCCTTCAGCGACGTTTTGAGGCTTCATGAAAAGTAAAAAAAATTTTGTTGTTCTTGTTTTATGCCATCATCAACATTATGGTAGTTGCTATTACAGAAATATCCGTTTGGTGTTTTTTACTTTTAAAATCTGGGCAAAATACCAGGTCTCTCGTGGCAGTAATGCCAGCTTCAAGTCATAACGTAGCACGCAAGCGAATCGACTAACCTGTCATAAGTCTGGCAATTCCAGGGGCCCGATTTTTCGGGCTTAATACGGACTCGCTCGAAGGCGTTATTTAGTGACCGAGTATTTTTCTCTGGCCATTCTACAGCTTTTCTCTGGCTCGCCAAATAATTGGCAAAGTGCCAGACTTGAGCCAAACGTGCCACACATGGGTCTACAATCCACCAGTGCGGTCTAAATCTGGCACTTGCTTGGCAATTTAGGCCCCACGTTGCCACATAAAAACCGAAGAACCAAAAGAGAAGCCTAACTTTAACGTGCATCTTTAGGCCAAATATACCCAGACTCTGGCCAAATCATGTGACGTTTTGGCCTTTACTTTAGACATTACACTAAAAACACGAGAAGGAAGACGCGCAAAAGAAAAGAAAAGGAAAAAAAAGCGACGTTTCGGGCGCACGCCCTTAGGCAAACTATGGGAAAACTAAGGGAACTCAAGGAGAAGAACCAGAGGGCTGTCGTAACCTGACGCCCCAAGATAAAAAAAAAATCGAAAAAGCCACCGCAGCAAACGACTAAGGTCGGGAAGTAGGTCAAAACAGTTACGAACGGGAAAGAACGGAGAGCGTTAATTTTCCTGCGGAGTCGACACCCTCTCCCACTTTCGTCCGCCCCCGTTCTTCCCCGTTTGAAACTGTTTTGACCCTTGTCCCGACCTTCGTCTCCCTATCTGTTTTTCGTTGGCTGCTGTGCCCTTTTCGTGTTGTTCTTGTTTTTCTTTACCTTCAGGCGCCATGTTGCGACAGCCATCGCGTTCTTCTCCTTGGCTTCCCCTTGTTTTCCCACAGTCTGACGAAGGACGTGCGCCAGAAACGTCGCTTAGTTTCCTTTCCCTTTCCCTTCGCGCGTTTTCACGCTTTTAGTTTTGTGCCATTTTTTATGCGTCGGCAGCAACCCACCCTTCGATACACTACTTTGCATTCTTTGCATTCTTTGGGCTGTGCTACTTTGGTAGAGACTAACCAAAATTATATTCACGTGCAGATGTGCGAGATAAGTAGAACAAATAATTATTTATTTGTATACATGCATCTTTTGTGTTGAGTCTATGATCCGGCTTTCTCCTAGTCACAAGTGTACGGGAATTCGGACAAAACCGCTTTTGGCTAAAATAAAAGGAGAAACATTTTATGCTGCCTACGTTTTTCCTAATCACAAATATAACAATAAGTTTCAGTCGCTTTAGTTTTTTCATGAATATTTGATTTCTTATTATGAGGGTATAAAACAACAAATAGGGCAGCCTTCCTGGCGTTGCTCGAGTAGCTCGAAAACACCACCCTTCGGCGGTATTTTCGAGCGACCCGAACAAAGTACATTTTTTATTAAATAGACTGGCATTACCCGTGCTGGAGAGCTATTTTAATATGTCTAAAATTTTCTATCTAATGAGAAAAAGGCAAATACATTTGATGCCAAATTCAATATTCAAATTTCTCCTCGATTTCTAGTAGTGTGGGGACTTCATATGTTGTAACGGATTTAGGTCAAGCAGGCAATATAAAAAACACCGCGTGTCACGCAGTCCTTTCGTTTTGCTGGAGCGAGCTTCAAGTGCGTTTAGTTATTCGCAATCCACGATATATTCTTGATATAATGATGATATAATAGTGGAGTGGACCTGTTCACGAAGCAAACAAAGTCAGATTAGTGTTGTTTCAAATTTTTTAAAGAATTTTCCTGTTGTTTTACAGTGCTTCATTTCTAGAGTAAGATTGTACTCTATTTTGTAAATAAGGTTAGGTAAGCTATGACAAGCCGCAGACACCCGGATGGTATCCAGGTGACACTTCCTGCAATTTTCACCGCATAAATATACAAGAAAAAGCCTCTCAAGATAATAATGTCATGATTAGGAACGTAGCATGTACATAGCGCAATATGTCTAATAAAATCAATGATAATGTAAACACAACTGAGATCATTATATGTGCATAGTGCAGGGGTGGCCAAGCTGCGGCTCTTCTTGTGTTAAAGTGCGGCTCGCGGCTCCCCCCCCCCCCTTTCCCCGGTCTCCCTCCCGGTTACACGAGCACTTCTCCGTATAAAAATATACCACGCGTTTTAAATAAATAAAAAAAAAAAACAGGTTGCGGTTTGGTAGTCGTTTGCCACTGCTACCTTACGCACAGTTGGACTGCTTTTGACTCTGATAGATTGGAAAGTAGTTCGAGCTTCGTTTATTGCAATGGACAGAAGTATCCCCCCCCCCCCCCCCCCCCGGGCTCCTGAAAGTTTCGTGGTTTTGTTTGCGGCTCTTAGGCCGGGTCCGCCTGGCCACCCCTGACATAGTGCCATGCGCCTAATAAAAGTAAGGTGCAAGGAAAAACATTAGGATTAGGGATAATCCGAGAAACATATACTAATTATAGATAGGATGAACGTAGTCTTATATTTTACCGTTTTTAGTGATGACCGAAAATGTTTTTTAATAGTATTACATTTTTGATCGCCGTCCTGCTACTATTTATTTTTATTCACCGGACACTAAACGTATAAATTAAACATTTCACGAACAGAAAAATTGAAAGATGTCAAATGTTTGTTCTAACCGTTAATAAACTCCCACTAATATAAAAAAAAATCGCATTTAGGATTTTATATATTAAGTTCGGTGTGAGAAAGAAGAAAATGTTGAAACTGCCTCCCTTCCCCCAAAAACGTAACCTCCGGATATGCTAGGTGCCTTGAAGTAAAGCACGGGATGCAAGTTTTCGCGTTAGAAGCTGCGACAATGTCATTATTAAAGTTAAAAAAAACACTGCACAAAGCGGAAGACAAGCTCAAGAAATACACCCAAATAGCGCTGCTGTGTGTTTTTTTTTTGCGCATTTTTTTTACTTCAATAATGCTCAACAATTGTTGATTTTGCTTTTATCTTCGGCTGTTTGAAGTTTATAGTGTTTTCCTCCCCTAGGAGACAGTCTGGACCATTAATGCACTTTTTGTTGTTTATGTGGGCATATGTATAACCCGGTTACAAAGTGTTGTTTATGTTGCATGATAAATTTTATTAGGCAGACTTGCGTGCGTACGCGTTGTGTTCCTGTGTGTTTCTGTGTGTATTATTATTGCATTTATTATGCGTGCTATACATCCTGCTTGGGCCCTGTGAGGCCTGCAGTATTTGTAAATAAAAAAAAATAGCCGAACTTCACGCCCTGTTGCGCGAAGCTGTAGGTTTTTTTGAAAAGTTGCATAGCTGCACAGCATAGATACATAAAAAAGCAGTCATGGATATACTCAGACAAATGTTAAATTCAGAAAAACCCTGTTTTGTGCCGAAACAGGGGGGGGGGGCGGGGGGGGGGGGCGAGGTACGCGGCAACGCTCTTGAAACCGGTGCAATAGATTATCTTGGGGTTGAAATGCTAAAATGCATTAGACGATAATCTGCACCAAAGCACTATCGCACAAACTTCCATTGCAATGATAGGAACGTTTAAATGGAAAGAAAATGTGAGCACTATGTTTGTACTACTTTTTTATTCAAATATTTTTAATCTGGCAGATCTATACCTTTGTTTCCTTCATTTATTCATATGTGAATAATGATAACTAGTTATAACAGTGGCGAAATATTATATTCGTGTGTTTATTTATGAACATCTGATAACTTTTCTTTATAATGTGCTCAATTTAATGAAAATACAAGCATTGCTATGATGTAACTGTTATTTCTTCTGTATTTTTTTACAGGAAGGAGGCTGACTGTGCTGCAGAGCTGGAGTCAATGGGAGGCGGTGAAGAGAATGACAACGTGCTTTGAAAAGTCACGTCACAACTTTGTCCAGTGTCACCTGTTGATCACATTTTTCAGGCCGGCTATCATGTTGTGCTTACTGCAAAGCGACTGTTGACATTTTGACCAGCGTTGTCGTTACCATACATCAACTGTCACGTGGGAATTACAATGTACATCACCATCAATATTGTGTTAAAACCAGGATGCGGCCGCCTGCTTTTACATCATATTTGTTCCTAAAAGTGATTTCCCAAAGTCTAGATTTTCTTTCCAAGCGGTTGTACAGTCACCACTAAAAAGATTGAGAGAAAGGATTAACAGCTGGCAAGGTAAAATCACTACACGCGGCTCTTCATTGTTACAAATACACGAAGAACGGGTGTGACCGAGTCGTTTCCACCTTTCAATCTCCGGGGTGTTTGGCATGCAGCTTTCTTTTGCAATTTATTTTTTTACAAAATAAATGCTCTAATTTGTAAAGGTTATTAGTTCTGCTTCTCATACCGCCAATGATGGTTAAGCAGTGAATATAAAAAAAGGAATCACCGCCATAAACGACGGGGAAATAATACCCCTTGTTCAATCATGCATGGTCAACGATTCCACGAAGCTAAGGAATAAACATTCCAAAGCGTGTTCTGGAACCGGCTGTTGTCTCCTTACCTTCCCCGTGCTGCGAAGACGGTATCTGTGAGGCAATATTGTCATCGTGTTTCCACTACTGCAGCGCCACCACATGTCGCCCTTTCGCCAGCTCTTCAGTCGCTCCTTTGTTTTAATATCTTTTTTAGTGCGACCGTACATTTGAGCACGCAAGAATTTTGTTCTGAACATGACCACCGCTTGAGTTTTCCTTGCCAGTCTGACGGATTTTACAGAATATTTTTCGAGGACATTTAGTAACTCACGTAAGGGTTGTTCCATCGATGTTAGATAAAACTGTACTTCTGAACTAAACACATTCCGAAATAGGCGAATATTTGATTCCCACATGTTCTCAAGCTTCGACGTGTCAGCGAAGGCTTATTATATAAACATGTATAGTATACGCTGATCAGAGCTCGTGATAATTTTCAAATATATTTTTCAGTCAACCAACATATGAGCAGTCCTGCAGAGAGGCTTAAACGTGTTTCACTTTAGCTTCGTGAAAAGTGTGAGGAAAAATTGATTAAAACAAACATGCAGTTTAATATTAAAAACAAAACAATTCAGAATAACATGGCCCAAGAATACAATGTAAATTGTACTCAAGAATATGTATGGAAACACCCCGAAGTATGGTAGTAGTTTTATTTTATTTGACCAAGGTCACCAATAGCGTGATGATAAATATATGCATAGCAGAGTTTAATTCGATAATTTAGCCAATTGTTTCGGAAATTTGTTTTCAAACGTCTCACATTTTTTTTAATTTTTTTTACGGTTTGATAAAATGCATTGCTGAGTGTTTGCAACCAGTGCTGACAAAGAATTTTCAAGTGTGATGTGTATATATGATAGCGGATTGATTCATCTAAAGAAAACTAAAGGAGTGAATGTGTAAATTTACGTTGTATATAAAATGGTTGTATTTTATTATAACTTTGTTTCGTGTCCTATATCTGGCTTGGAAGTGGCTCCAAATAAAAATACTTCCCTTGAATTATCGCATTTTGCACATAAAACTCGAGTGCCATTATTCTCGCATAAAAAAAAAAGTTTGGTACGTAGATCATGCCTTTACGGATAGTGATGATGACGTCACCGGGGGTATTCTGGGCAAATACCCATACAGTTTTCCGGACATGTTCACGGTAAGAGCTGTTGCAGTAAAAGCAGATTCCTGAAAATGTTTTAAAAACAGAGAGACGATGTGAGCTCTGCAGAACGAAAAAAAAGCTCTCTGTACAGGTGTCAAAATACTAATATTCCGAAACGTACTTAGCAAAATTTATGAAAGAGTTCCGACATATTTTTACTAGCATAGGCGAGATGCCAAACAGCCCACTGGACAAGTGGTTAAAAGCGCTTCATAAGATTTACCGAAGCAATAAAGAAAACGTACGAACAAAAATTCACTGAATCTAAAATTTTGAGTACGCTAATAATATAACATCGCGAAAATGCCTCACAAAAAACCTATTGCTATCTAGTGTACTACAGGCATTAGATTGGCTAATTCCAAGGAACGAATGCTAGCACTGTTACATCGGACAGCTTAAGCAGTCAATGACATGAAAACATTGAAGCTGCTGACCGGAAAATCAGCAAAATGAATAAAGTTTGATATCAACTTTGTATTAGGTGATCACATGAAGACTTTAAGATGTCCAGCCCATCTAGCGTCCGCACCAAGCGAGCTTCGTCCGAGCAGCACTGTAAATGAATTTGAGCAAATATGCATCAGGCTATCGCACGCCTTTCTTTTTACATTGCTTGTGGTATGCAGCATCGGAATAACACGTCGCCAAATATGTAGGACTGCTACAAACATTGAGACGCCTTCTGGTCAGTAGGAGCGTAACTGAGAAGATATCAACACAAGCCTCTGCTTGACCAAGTTGCCTGCTCTCGCCAATACTCTTCTTCCTCTAGCTATAGAACCTGTCTGCAAAACAAATCCGAAAATGTTCTAGGATTCAGGACGTTGCCCTCTATGTATTACGAAAATTCTAGGGAACGCTGATGACATGACTGTTCATACTGCCCCCAGACTAGAAATGGCGTTCACCGAAAAGCTGTTTATTGGTTTTTTGGGTGACAATGGGGTATAAATTAATTATGCAATGTCCGCTGGCACATGGCTTGGCAACGGAAATGTAGAGCCAAAAACTTGATCAAATTTAGGTGGAGCTCTACGATATTGAACTTCCTTGGCGGAAACCAGGATTACATAAAGCGGGGCCCACGTGGGCCCCGCCTGAGCAAAGTGGGCTGGAGCAGTTCCTCGAACACAGCCCCAGCTCCCACGTCGGTGCAATGTGGGCATGCCTCATACGGGCTCCCCCCATGAAACCCCCCGTGGATCCCACTTTGGTTATGCGAGGGTAAAGTAGGCATATATTTGAGCAAAGCGAGGACACGCCTACTTGGGCTGCCGATGCAGTACACCCATGGGTCCCACTTCGGCTAGGCGTGGGCATGCTCAAACTAGGCTGCAATGCCTCCGCGGGCCACACCTCGGATCTGCGGGGGTAGAGTTTAGACGAAGGCGGGTTTGCGGAGGAAACCGTGGGTTTTGCCTTTTTATCAGCTTTTTCGTTTAACTTGTAAATATGCATTTCCCACAGTCTATTGTAGGAAACATACGGTACTCGATATCTGCCACAGCGAGCGCACTACGTGTGTATGTGCGTCTACTCTGCCGTTCAACCCATGCCTAATTCGAGAGCTCTACACAGAGAGTTTAACCACAGACGTCGTCAAAATTTATTATTGACTCAAGCACAAAATTTGCCATTTGAATCTAAACAGGGAATGACCATGTCTAAACACACAATTTGTTTTTCACATTTAACGATGTAAAACGAGTGTTAAATAGACTTACAGCAATGATTACATCCTTTAAATATTTTCTTTGAGCGATACTCTAACTTTAAATTTTAATATTTCAGGGCACATCCTTTATTTTTGAAGTAGTAAAGGGGTTTGGAAAATGCTGATATGCTTACGTGAGGTGAACACCCTTCTACACAGCCTATCCAAGTTGTGCATGCAAAAGAGCTTTCATCTTAGAACCAAGGTCTATATTAACCTTGTTACCAAAGCGCCGAGGTGGGTCTCGTGGATTCATCGCACGGGCAGTCGAAGTTGGGCATTCCCACGCGTTGCCACCGTGGAGCCCACCACTCTGCCAGCTCTGACCGCATAGTCCAGATGGGAATAACGGAGGCAATGCACGGGCAACCCAAGTTGGGCATGCCCACTGAGTGCCCCCATGGAGCTCACCTCTGTGCTATTTCTTCCTGCCGTATAGCCGTGGTAAAGCCCTTGGAAGCATTGCACGGGCAGCCCAAGTTAGGTACGCACACTCGTTGCACTTTGGAGCTAACCTCGATGCTACATTTTACCCCATATAGCATAGGTGGGGCCCACGGAAATATTGCTCTGGTAGGCTGAATTGGGCATACCCACGTGTTGCCCCGGTGGAGCTGTGCCACCCCCGCCCCCCTCAGAACCAGGGTGAAACCCATAGGGTCATTGCACGGGCAGTCTAACTTGGGCATGACCACGCGTTGCCCCCGTGGAGCCCACGTCTGTGCCACCTCTGCTCCTCCAATGCGTCAGCGAGGTTGGACCCACAGGGGCATCGCACGGGCAGCCCAAGTAGGGCACGCGCACACGTTGCCCCAGTGGAGCCCACCTCTGTATCACCTCTGCACCCGCACAGCCCAGGTGGGATCCACGGAGGCATTGCACGGGGAGCCCAAGTTGGGCATGCCCACGCGTGGCCCCCATGGAGTCCACGTCTGTGCGAACTTTGCCCCCGCATCCCCGAGGTGGGACCCATGGAGGCATTGCACCGGCAGTCAGTCCAAGCTTGGCATGCCAAGGCATTTCCCTGTGGAGCCCACCTCTGTGCTACCTGTGCTCCCGCATAGCCGTCGTGGGAGCCATTTGGGCACTGCACGAGAAAACTAAGTTGGGTCTGCTTTTTTTAATACATTAACTGTCCCACACTCTAAGAAAAAAAAAATGGAGGAAAAAAGTAGCAACGGCGCATCTCCCTCCCTTCTACTGACGCGCCCCCAAGCAGACACGAGAAGAAGAGAGGAACGAGACATTTTTCTCGTAAAGGCAGACGGGGGAAAGCTTCCGCCCTCCCGCATCATCTTCTTTCGGTTTCGTTTTTCGAGCACGTCGCGCACGTTGCTTCATAAATGTTGTTGAGTTGACTGAGCTTCAGCCCCAGCTAAGCCCGCCTGTAATTCCGTCTTCTAGTCCAAACGTGCAGAACATTTCGGTTTCTGGGACGTTTTTACCCCTAATTTTATCAAACGAGCAAACGAAGCCGCTAGAAACAGCGAAGTTCCGGAGCAGTGCCAGCAGCGCTACTTACATTGGGTAAGATGGCCGTCTCCGGATCGCGGGACCCACGCGGAACTATAGTATCGGAACCACGTCGAACGGTGTCGATCGCAGGTGACGGTGACGAATCACAGGAACTGCGTCCAAGACAGGCAGGTTTGCTGCCGGCTGCCTGTGTGCCTTCCGTGTTGAGTTCAGTTCAGTTTTGCGATACCTAGTGCCAACCGGCAGTCAACGTGGTTCTGTATTTATGTGGTTCAGCAACATAGCAGCAGCATCGTGATGGCGGTGCTGTGTGTTGTGAACAGAAAACAGGAATAATCGCTGATGCGACCGTGTGTTCGCGTATCAGTGGTGCAACAACAAGATGAGATGACGTAAACTGTTGGGCATTGATGACCCAGGTCGTGCCGCGATCGGACGGGGCGGGGTGTCGCAGGTTGACGTTCCGTTTACATTTAAGAGTTTATGACCACTTGAGGGGATTAGCTACAATCGATCGACACGAATAGTCATGTTGGAACGCTGGTCTGAACAGTAAGCTCCTATCGTACAGTGGCCAATGGGACTGTCGGTTGTCTCCTCCCCGAAAGCAGTTGCGCTCTGGGGAAAAGACTGAACAGTACGAAATCACGGCGGAAAATACGGATATTTACAGCGTGGATTTTTAGGTTAAAAAAAGAATAGTAGGTGAAATCGAAAAAAAAAAAAAAAAACTACCCATTATTTTGCTGTTTAAATATGCTACGGTTCCTGGAGACACTGCCCTCCAAGTGGCGCGCTGGGATGAGCGCTTGAAGTTTTCGAGCTCGCCGCGGCGTAGCTCCTTACAATTAACACAATGCCGCAAGTCGCGGCTTTGACTGAATTCAAGTTAATCGAAAAGCAATTTCTCTGCCCATGAAGCATCATTTCCAGCTGAGTGAACCCGTACGAAAATGTCAGATATGGGCCTGATATATTTTATATACGGACAGATATGATAATATAAGCAGTCAAATAGGGCTGTATTTCGCCAGATCTGGGAGCTAATACGGCCGTATTTCGCCAAATAGGTGGGCAAATACTGCCAGATCTGGCCGTATAAGTGCGTAAATACGTTCATATATCGCCATATACGCGTGCAAATTTAACACCTGATAATGATATATGGGCCCGTTTCAGTCGTGCAAGCAACAAGTTATATGTACTCGCTAAGACACCAGTTGATTGATCTATATTGCATGAGTCTCATGTAATTGGTTAACTATTGTCAACATCCTTAAAGTGAAGTAATTCCAGGAATTTGGACCAATTAATCAATTGCGCAATTTGAAGATTGAAAGACAAATGAAATTTGGTTGTATGTCTGATGTGTGACAATATGACGAAGTGCGATCGGAACGCGAGTTAATCAAATAATGGATTTTAGTCGCAGCTCTAAGGCACCCGTTTCCGAGTTAAGCGGTGTTGGCGTCGCCATCGGTGTAACCGCCCCGCTAAATTTAGCGAGAAATTGAATTGGTGCGTATGTCACGTGACGTCAATTTTCCCGCGAAATCTGGCAGTGAAACTAATTTTTTTTTTTTATG